TGAATATCAATGAAAATTCTATGATTATTTAGGTGACCTTAAACGTTATATTTAAGTGTTATATGCGAGAGGATAATGTTTAAGGATAATAATCAAAACAATGTTCGTAATGAATTTAATTAAAGTTCTAAATCTTTAATTAAAACATTATTAATATATGTCATTCACATTTAGAATGGAACGGTGTTATCCGCACTGTTAATATGGCGAGATATTAAATGAGTGTATTACGCATAATGAGATTATGTGGAACAAAGACCCAGCACAATATGAATTTCTAATAATTTACGTTAAGTATAGAAATTCAAATTGAATGTACCGATGGTCATATATAGAATGATCTTAATCCTGAGTTCTTAACAGACTTCTATTTATGGATCTGTGTCTTTTGATTTACTCAGTATGGATTCAGAAATCCCGAATCTTATTCCTTGTATTTTGGAGACATGATGAAGTAGGTAGCCGGAAATGTTATAATACGAGATAGACTCCATTCCTTCTTGAAAGAGAAACAGATAAATAATTCTCTTGAGAGTTGATTTGGTACTTGGACCAGTAGGAGCTCCGATTCATTAATGTGTTTTATGAATCACTATCCATAGAGAATCAATAGTACTCAAGGATAAAGATGTAATTAGAGAGATTAATGGATTTTTCCTAGCTCTAATTATGAGTTATTTATGGAGGATTGATCTATATGCAGTGACTATATCACATGGACACTTCACGGTTTAGAAGTAATTTAGATTTATAATTACAAGAGTGTAATTCCAAGTTTTTAGTGGAGTAGCTATTAGAATTAATAAGATTAATTAATTAATTAAAGTGTTTAATTAATTATTAATTTTGTTGAAGCTTGAAATTATAGGTCCATGAGTCCCCGCGTCATCCTTGTAATTCTACAAGGCATTAAGGGTAAAATGGGAATTTTAGAATTATAGAATTCTAAAATCAAACATTCAAGGATAATTAATTGAGAATTAATTATTATTTAAATAATGTGAAAATTTAAATTTAAATTTTAGATCACTTATGTGAATGTGTTCACATAGTGTGAACACAAGACCCAGTATGAACACATAGTGTGAACACATCTAAAATTATCCATTTAAACTTATTTGATAAGTTGTTCAATTTAGAATTCAAATTAATTTAAGTTTAACTTAAATTGGATTTTGAATTTGAGTAGGATAAAAGATGATTTTCTCTTCCTTCCCTATCTGATATTGGTGCCTATCACAAGTATAAGATTTCGTATCTATGGCCGGCCAAACTAGGATAAAGTGAAGGGAAAATTTGTTCTAAATTCAAATGGGAGATAATTGTTAAGCTTTATCTTAGAGATAAAGATGAGACTTCTTCTAAGAGTCTAACTACTATTCTATAAATAAGGAGATAGTAGAAAATTGTGTGACACAATTTTTGCTCCTAATTTTATAGAATGGCCAGTTTCACAAGTGTTGTGAGAGTGAAAATTTTTCTCCAAAAATTCCATGTCATGCATGCGTTGGTGTTCATGGAAATTCTTCAGTGTTTTGTTAACCCGTTTTGTTTTAGGTGTGCTCACACGCACGTCTTCGTAGATTCAAGGAATTGACAAGGAAGGCTCGGGTTTGCAAGCATTGGAGCGAGGATTGTTCGAGGTCAAAAAACTCAAGTTATCAGCCTAATCGGTCGCTAGGTATAATTCCTATTCCGGTTCTTGGTAAATAAATTAATATGATTAATTTATTCGTGCATAAATTAATATAATTTATAGAGTATCTCAAAAGTTTTATGAAAATTTTTGTTATACACGATCCGCTACTCTCGCGCTTCCGCATCCGAATTCGATTCAGAAACTAACAATTGGTATCAGAGCAGTCTATAGATAATATTAATTTATGCTCTGATTATTTGATAATCAAAATTAATATATTAAATATGTGATATTTAATTACATATATATGTGATGAGTAGGCACTTGTATTTAAGCATGTTTATATTTAATTCATGTTGATGAATGTATGGATGGTGGATTTGGTCGTTAATTATATGGTTCCATGGATCGCGTTAAATTCGTTCAATTAAATTATTTGTAATTTTTATTCAGGAATTAGAATTATTGTAATTCTAGGATTTAGGTAGAATTAGGGTTTGATTTTGAATCAAAAGGAAGCTCAGAATATCAATATTTAAGCTGCCTACAAACAACCCCAGATCTGCCCAGACCAGTGCCCAGATAACAAGCATGGCGTACCCACGCGCGCGCCTAGGTGTGTCTAGACAGCGTGCAGTCAGACCGCTCACGCGCGCTCAACATACGTCCAAAAACCTTGAAATATTCAATATGTGGTATCCAAAAATCACGAGGAAGGACTTTTGGATTCATCATTGTTCTTCTTGCATCGATATCCATATAGGAAATCAAGTTTACTAGATTATCATTCTTTGAAGTAAATATCTGGACCTCAACATTTGGTAAAGGATGAGTTATAAAAGTCATGGAAACTTGTTCCGTGTTGTAGACTGGAATGTGATATTCAATTCCTTCTTCTTCCGTGTTATCAAGGCTAAAGTCTTCGTGATCTGATTCTAGGATGGCGAAGACTGTCTCAACATCAGGTTTTTCTTGTTCATAGAACAGGGATTCCAGATCAGCATCTTCTTCGTCACGACTTGTTGAGTTGGCTTGCAGTTGTCGAATGACTCTAGCTCACTTGGCAAATTTCTTAGGACAATTTTTTTAATAATGTCCTTTTTCTCTGCAGCTGAAATAGCGGTCTGATTTTAGACTGCCACGTCTTTTTCTTTTAAAGAATCTGAATCTCTTTCCTACTTTCCTGTTAGACCTTTTGGGCCTACGAGACCGTCTTGAGGGATCACTGTGGGGAACGCCTTGGAAGGCCATAGGAACACATATTTTCCTTACATTTGATCTACAAGTAAGGCTTTTTACATGCCTTTTTGAACTTGGATCTTTCTTTCATCATGGAGGAAAATAGTTATTGTGTCTCACAAAGCTTGTTGAGAGCCGCCAGTGTCAATTGATGGATTTCTCCAATGGAGATATCCTTTAATTTTCTCTTGGTTGCAAGTAGAGACCGTTGGAGTTCTGGCTATAATTCTTGAGGAAGTGAGGAAAGGTATACTTGGCAGAGGTTGGAATCATTGAATCCATTGAGCAAGTAGTACCGCCGAGACATTCTTTGATAATGAAACTCAATGTCTTTTCTTCTTAAAGAACAACATTTCATTTCAATGTATTCCTAACGCATTTGTTTATCAATCAGATTATAGTCTCCAATGAACTCTTGGTATATAAGTCCAAGAATTCCTGTTGCAATGTCCGCCTTGCTAAACTGGAGTTGTCTTTATCCTCCGGGAGTCTGAAACCAATCTCTGAGATTACCAGTGAATCTGGAGGCAAATTCTCTGAGGACAGCCTATAATTCTGCTCCATGCTTTGTCATCTGTAGATCAATCCATGATCCGAACACATTAATTATGTCTCTCCATTATTCTGGAGAGGCTTTTATCAAAAGTGAACCAAGGACTAGCTGTTGGCTTGGAGAAGGCATTCTCTTATCGCTATTGTGTATCAAGGAGTTCTTCTACTATGGGAGAAGATTCTCCCATTTCTTTATGGGTCTGTTGATCATTGACCCTGTGGAGGTAGCCATCAGTAATCGTGTGATGTCCATTGTTTCTTCTAGTCCTTCAGAATCTTATGAGTTGTTTGATATTTTAGATGAGCTATCTACGGTCTCAGATGGCTTTGAATTTGATTCTGAGACTGTTTCTGAAACTGTTTCTATTCTTGAGGAGAGTGTCATGTGAGCAGGGGTGTATCCTCGGTCTTTTTCCTTTCCTTCTATAGCCGGTTTGGCCTTCTGTGGAACAAGCTCATCTTCTTCTGATGATAGACTCATTTTGGCAGTTTTTGGTTTTAAAGAAGTTGGTCTTGCTAAAGCAGTTGGCTTTGACCAGATTGGGTCTTTGAAGATCTCATGTGTCATTTTGAATATCTTTGAATAGTCAGGCTGAGATGAATATGAGTATGAAGGGAAAAGTAAAGGTCCAAACAGAGGAAGTTGATAAGAAGGAGGATCAAACATTCTCCTTTCTCTTTTATCCAAATCTTCATCAATTTGTCTGAGCTCAGCTTTTAACCTCTGGATTTCTACTTCCTTCCTATCAAATTTTGGACCAAAGTAACCCTGGTTGATGAGGTTTCTTAGTCATAATCTAATTGCTTGATTTTTGACTGGAGGCTGTTATAGAGCTTGCGTACATTATCACTGAGGCTGTCAAGCTTATTATCAGTAAGATTGATCTGGGCTATGACCTTATCAACCTTTATTTCAATCTTCTGTAAGACTTGGTTCTGTGCTCTGACATTTTGAGTTTGCCAGTTCAGAACTTTTTCTGCTTGGGATGGAGGCTTTGTTCTTCCGTCTGTATCTCTGTGAATTGGACATATGGCCGTGAGACCACCTTGGTTGTCTGGTCCATCTACCTTTCGAGAGCTAAGAAATCTCGATCATATGATGAGAACATCGTACATGGTGTAGCACCTGATGTGGATGAATCCTCAAGTTTGTTCTTGAAAACCCAAGGAACAAAACTGACATGTGATTCTCATAATTTCTTAAACGTGGGGTCTTTGTAAAAATGACGCAATCGAAAAGTTTTATTAGTCAAATATTTAAAAAAAAATGTTATTTATAAAATAACTACAAAACGATCAGAAACAACCATTTTTTCTAATAAACGAACCCAGTCGTTCTTCATAAAAAATTTCATAAAAAATAAAGGAGGCAATTTTGCTAATTTCAGTTTCTTAATAGTTTTTCTCAAAATTGTTTGCCTTAAAAAATAAAAATAAAAATAAAAAGGAAAGAAGAAGAACCACGACAAACGGTGAAACGGCAACGTTTTATTAGTCGTAGTTGGAAAGTCAAACAGCATATTTCACACTGACTTGAAGATCAGATTCAGATAAATGATCGTAAATCTTCCACCTATTTATTTGCTTCCTTCTTCATTCAGACTCCTCCCAAAACTGTAGAAAAGCTGTCTTCCGAGCAAAAATAATAATAATAAAAATAAAATAAATGCCGAGCCGCTGCGAGATCTGCTGTGAAATTCTCATCGCGATCTTGCTTCCTCCGTTGGGCGTCTGCTTCAGGCATGGTTGCTGCAGTGTAAGTTTTTTTTTTTTTTTTTTTCCCGTTTGGTTGCCAAGAAATTAGGAAATTTTCCAATCTTGATCCGCTTCAAAAATTTTCTCAAATTTTTGTCCCTGAGCGTTTCAATGGAGGTTAATTTTGCGTAATTGATGAAAAATTTTCTCAAAATTTTCAGGTCGAGTTCTGGATATGCTTGCTTCTAACTCTGCTAGGTTACATTCCCGGGATAATCTACGCACTCTACGCGATCGTGTTCATCGATCGCGAGGAGTACTTTAACGAATACCGACGGCCTCTATACGCCGCTTGATTTGATTCCTCCGATCTTGGCCTGATTTGTGCTGGTGTATGCAGTATGGTTTCCAATTCCTCAGATCGGATCGTTTCTGTGCTAGTGAGCTAATTTATCGTGTTTTTGTTCATCGTTGTTCCTGTAATTGTAACCATTTCTGAATGTTAGACTGTTTTTTTGGATGTGATAGTGGTTTCCAAATCCAGAGATTGAATCGTTTCTGTGTTGGTGAACTAATTTATGGTGTTTTTGGTCTTCAATGTCTTTATAATTGTTGATGTAATGTGATGAGATTATTTTTATATTTTTTGTTCATCAATGTCTTTGGAATAGTGGTTTTGGGTGCTAATTGCTATTGCATTTATCATTAGGTGTTAATACGATGATTGCCTTTTTTGCTAGTGTTCAGAACAACTCAACCGTACTAACTATTTCATTTATCATTAAGCTTGCGTTTAGTTCAAATCTGGTGGTTTTAGTTTTAGAATGAGAAACATGTAATGGTTTGAACTTGGAGTCCAAACTTGAAATTGGAATCAAAGCTAGAGGTTTGAACCATCTAAATTTAAGGAAGAAGTGGTTTTATTTTTCAGGGTGGTTCTGATTTAAAACATCATATCAGATTCAAACTTTGAACTAGAATCATTTAAACTAAACACTAATTTTTAAAAACTATTTTTTATATTTTGTAAACAAATAAAGGTTTGAATCAGAATTATAATTTCAATTTTAGAACCCTCATACCAAACACAACCTAAATTTTATGAATTCCACGAATATATTTATATATATATATATATATATTGTAGTTTGTTCAAATGCAAGTAGGATGTAATTGAAATTATATATTTGATATATTTATTTATTTATTTATTGTGAAATTAAATTCATGGACATCCTAATCAGGTTCCTGACAAGACCTTTTGTAGTTGATTTTCCTTTGTTTCCTTAGGTGACTTAAATGGTGAGTTTTTCTACGAAAGCCATGTATGCTCTTTCTTTTGGGTGACCTATATTTTGATAGTTGTTTTTCCGCTCTTATACTTAAATTTGCTTTTCAGCAAAGCCTTTCATTTTAGCATGGAAATTTGTTTGCTTCCACTTTTTCTGAACAATTATTTTTAATGCTTGGGGTGTATGAAGATGCTAGGGAGTTTGAGTTGGGGAATATATACTTTACATGATTGTCATACTCTTAACAGAAAAGAGACGAATATAGTTCTTGACACAAGTAAAGACGTGTTTTCTTAAGAGACGTGTAAGCTAGGGAGTTTGAGTTGGGGAATATATACTTTACATGATTGTCATACTCTTAACAGAAAAGAGACGAATATAGTTCTTGACACAAGTAAAGACGTGTTTTCTTAAGAGACGTGTAAACACATGTTTCTTTAATTACATAGTAGGGAAAATGTTTCAATTGAAAGTATCCGCATGTGAGAGGTGTTGTCTTTTAGGGGGGGTGCGCGCATAATTCTTGAAAAGTATTTGGCAGATTATGTTGTCTTCGAGTGCGTGCCAATACTTTCTTGTAATAGTATATGATTGTTTTTTGGAAATTGGTAGTCTCTGGTTACAATCGAGACTCGTTACTTGCCCTCAAAATTTCACGAAATATTATTATTTTAAAGATTTTCATTTCTTAAACTTTCATTCAACATTTAAACATTAAAATTGTTGGGCGCGTGGCTTCAAATTAAGCCCACAAAGCATATTTTTAGGTTTGGGCCCAAGGCCCGTATCATTCCTTTTGTTTTAGTAATGAGGCAGGTTGGTTTGTCTGACTTTTACTTAGAGAGAACATTACATATATATGTTAGAGCCGCGCAAGAGTATAGCTGCAGCACAGTTGGGTTTCTCCCGTTGATACACAGTTTTTTCTCTTTTGTTTAGTGTAAGAATATTTGGTCATAGAATTATTCTTTGACAGTTAGAGTTCTTATTCTTGGGTTGAGAGATTTTTGGTGTATTTGGGATTTGAGTAGTGAGAGGTTTTTGATAGGCTTTTGTAATCTCTTTTGGTTATAGTGGAATTTTTTCGCCGTTTCTGTTCGTGGACGTAGGTCAAAAGCCGAACCACGTTAAATCCTTGTGTCTCTTAGATTTTTTTGTTATTCATATTTTGTCTTGAATCTGCTTAATTTGACATTTTGGCACAACAACTGGTATCAGAGTTTTGTTTTATTTGTCAAATTATTTTGGGATTTATGACCTCTGCAATGACGATAAAGTATGAAATTATAAAATTCAACGGGAAGAATGATTTCAGTTTTTGGCGTGTCAAGATGTGAGCCCTATTAGTTTAGCAAGGGTTGCTTAAGGCACTAAATGGCAAAGAGGATTTACCGGCAATGTTGTCAGATGATGCGAAAGAAGACCTCTTAGAAAGGGCACATAGTGCTATTCAACTGTCGTTAGCAGACGAGGTGATGTGTGAGGTTATTGACGAGACTACTGTTGTTGGATTATGACTTAAGCTTAAAAGTCTGAATATGACTAAGTCTGTCGCCAACCTGCTCTATTTAAAATAATCTTTGTACACTCTTTCGCATGTTGATGAATTTAATAGAATTATTCTGGATTTGAAGAATATTGAAGTGAAAATCAATGATGAGGATCAAGCATTAATTTTGTTGTGTTCCTTTTCACGTTCGTATGAGTACTTTGTTGATACTATGTTATATGGTAGGGACACTATTTCTTTGGAAGATGTTAAGGCATCTTTGAATTCTAAAGAACTGAAGAAAAAGGTGTTTGGTTGTTAGAGGTAGAGGAGTGTAAAAAGACAAAAAAAAAAAAAAAAAAGTGGAAAGTCTAAAAATAGAAAAGGCAACTACAATTATTATCGCCAACCAGCGCATTGGAAAGTTGATTGCCCAAACTCAAGAGAAATAAGAAATCTGGGGAAGAAGCATCAGCTAATAGTATTGAGTATTTTGAAGATGATGATTATGTACTATCTATGTCTGGTGATTGCGTAGGCAATTCTTGGATTATTGATTATGGATGTTCTCAACATATGTGCCCTAATAGAGATTGGTTTATTGACTACTAGTCTATTGATGTTGGTGTTGTCCTTATGGGGAATAATATGTCTTGTAGAGTAGCTAGTGTTGGAACAGTCAAAATTAAGATGTTTGATGGCAGAGTTACGACTTTGACTGATGTTAGACATGTGCCAGATTTAAAGAAAAGTCTTGTTTCTTTGGGGACTTTGGACTCACAAGGTTATAGGTATTCTACTGAAGGTGGAGTTTTGAGAGTTAGTAAGGGAGCTTCTGTGGTGATTAAAGGGAGTTGCATAATGGCCTCTATTTTCCGCAGGGTAGTTGTCACGCCCCCCAAACGGGGTGGGTGACGTGGAGCTCGATTAGGGATTAATAAAGCAGATTCCCAGACCGGGCCCCACACTTAACTGCATTAAAATATAAATGAATTACAGAATCCCGAAGCCTCTAACACACAGGGCTCCACCCCACAGGACATACAGTATCGTACATACATGCTCATGTAATTAATCATTACAACAGACATCAACCACAGTCTAGTAAATCCAATATTAAATAGGTTTACATAATTTCTCAAATTCCTTACATTTGTTCAAGAGGATAAACTCAATCCTCACTTGATCCAACAGTAGCAACTCCAGCTACCCTGCACCGCTCCTCGAGTCTCCTGGGAGGGGTTTAACATTTAAAACATAAAACGTGAGCGAAAGACCCAGTAGGATATAATTTGAAATATTTAAAATAAATGAGCGCATAAATAAATAATTGAATACATAAATAAAATAAGACATTCAGTCCCGACAGAACAGCCAGAACCTCACATCCTTTTTCTCAAAGCAAAAAATAACTGAAAATAACCATGTTACAGGCTTCAGCAAGTAATTAGTACAAATTACTTACCT